AAAGATTACTGTGATTCGTACATAGACTATAAGAAACGAAAAACAAGTCCACATTTTAGGAATGCTCCCTTGAAGAGAATGACAAGTTTAACTATGCCTTTTCAGTTAATAGCTATGGATATACTAGGCCTACATCCTATTCAGGAAACAAATATGTGTTATTAGTTGCAGACTACCTGACTAGATTTCCTGAGGCAACAGAAAGCAGTAAGGATCGCCAAAGCATTTGTGAATAACATAGTAGCTAGATATTTCTAAGTTACTGAAGGAAATTTGTAAGTTATTAGGTGTTAAGAAAATTGAGACCACTGCTTATCACCCAGCTGCTAATGGTCTAGTAGAAAGATCCAATAGAAGTTTACTAGACATGATCTCTCAGTATTGTGAGAAAGATCAGAAAACTTGGGATGAGCAAGTTCCCTTATTATTATTAGCATATAGAAGTGCTGAAAATGGGTCCACTCAGGAAAGTTCACTATTTCTAGTACATGGTAGAGATGTAATGTTACCTATGCAGGAGGTACTAGCTACTAGAAGGGTGAATCATGCCGTGGGTTACGATTATAAAGCAGAGTTATTACAGCAGATGCAGTTAGCATTTGAGTTGTTAGCTAACGAACATTTGACTGAAGCTGCTGAGTATAGGGAGAAGCAAGCAAGTAAGATTATTTGTTTGTTTTAAATTTTGTGCAAAGCTACACGAGGGCTATCTGTGCTAGCCATTCCTAATTTAACAGCGATAGACTAGAGAGAAGGCAGCTAATCAACAGCACCCACCGGCAACTCTTGGGGTACTCTTTTGCCTATGAATAGTGGGACTGACCATCACATTATAACGCCCTCACGCCTGAAAGGACGAGCATGTTCAGTGACGGGGATTCGAATCCACGACTCTGAGATTGCGAGTCAAGCACCATAACCACCAGGCCTGATGAATTGGAAGTGCTTGACGAGTTCTTGGGACTATGTCATGTTTCTTTGGTTGATGCTGTTTATATCCGAATGAACTTATGTTTTTGGGAAGATAAATAACGGGCCAATGCTATGATGTAGCAACTATCATAAGCGACATTAAAAGCAGCATTGCCAAAAATATCAGAGACCTTGAAACGAGGTCATTGTTCACTTAGTGTTAAGGGTATTCACTGGAACTTGTAGTCAGTGACACTCTGAAGCAATCCAAGGTAAAGAAGGACGCATTGAACTCATGTACTTTGTTACATAATCAAACTCTCTTCATGTAGAGAATGCATTCTTTGCAGTTCAAAGAAAAGTTCTTTACCCTACTAGATGGACTGTTAAAGTGGATTCACTTCAAAGTAAAAAGTATGAAACCTTGCAGAGCACTTAGGAAGAAGATCTAGAAGTCATGGTCATGTGTAATACTGAAACAAAGACCAGAATCCATGGCATATCCATGCAAATATATATACCTTTCATTCTTTTTTGGGGCAATGTTTGGTGAAATAATCTTGAGACATATTGAAAACTTGAGTTGAACCCTACAACACAATTTGGTGTCAGTGAAAAAAGATCAAGAAGTAGCTCGAATAATAGTTGAAACTACTAGGTCATCTTGCAGTGATGAATCTTTTGATCTCTTTTGGGCATAGGTTATCCAGAAATACACAGCATTAGCTTTCAGTGAGCCACAGCTTTCTTCTCGCTGGAAATTACCGAACAGGTATGATAGTGATATGGTGGAGCATCTCTTTGAAACTCCAAAGGTATAATGGACTATCAACATGATTGTCAATCGCAGCCAGGACCGATCTGACCAGCTTTGGTATAAAATTTACAAGTGTTTGCAGCAGGCTTTGTGAAAAACCATGCAATAGAAAATAACTTGACGAAGAATTACAATCCCTTTGTAGATTATACAGTATAATTTTTATCAATATCTTCTTTGTTCACAGCTACTAATATTTTGGTTGCATTTCCAGAAGTTGACAGAAGACCAAATGGAGACAAGCAACGCCTATCCAACTGTATTTAATATGCATTTTTTTCTAACACTTTCTCTAGGTCAAAGGATTCTGCTATCATAATTGAGAACACTACTGCAGCTTATTTAGTCACGTCTGCTAGAAATTCAACATTGGCGAGATTGTTCAGTGTCCTGAGACGTCTAAAGAACTTCCTGTTGGAATATTATGACTCAGTAATGTCTCATTTATCATATGGTTCTCAGCATGCATAAAGAGAGAGAGAGAGCACACACAATGTTGTGTATCTGCTTGTTTGTTAATTTTCGGTATAAATTCTTTCCGAGGAACTTCGGTGACACAAGTCCTTTCTTAATTAAAACTAGTTTA